TGTTGGGATTTGTATGCAAGAACTGACTCTATTCTACTGCATGGGTTTTGTGCAGTATTGTGAAGGCGTGTCTCCAAGTCTGTAACCGTCAGGTGAAGACAGCTTGGGCGCCTGTGTTTTGGATCTAATGATCACTCTGTGTTGTATCTACCCAAACTGCGCCACCACTGCCAACTACACAACAAACAGCAACTACAATTCTGTTGTCAGAACTATGTACCCGGCTGATGTTATTGCGCCCTGTTTCCTTCCCTGCTGCATGTTATATTCCTTTATGTATGTCGTTTGTATTGCCTTCGGCCTTTGTGCTGTGTTTCTTTTTTTTCATGACCTCCCTGCCCACTCTGCTGTGTTGGGTACCTTGATCTCGCTTTGTGTGCCTTTGTTTTTGTACGTCTGGCTGTTTGCCCATCTGCCGCCTCTTTGTCCTGTTTGCTCCGTTACTCCCATGCCCTGGTGCGTAGCGCCTGGTGCTGATACGTTACCCTTTGATTTTTTCTTTGGGCGGGTGTGGGAAGCGTCCTCCTTTATTTTTGTTTTTGTTTTGTTTTGATCATTTTCCGAGGGCTCTTTTCTCGAACGGTCGGTGCGGTACCTGTTATTTTCTTTCTGTCATTTTGTTTTCTCTTTCCGAGTGGTTCGTACCCTATTTTTGTTTTGTTTCCCCGCGGCGTCGTATGTGCCGGGTTTTGAGACCACGGGGTCCCTATTTTTTGTGGACTATAGAGCTAATGTGAGAAACAACAACAACAAACAAACAACTTGGTGCTGCTGGACTAAAAATGTACGCTCGGTCCCTGATGCGTGTACAGTAGAAAAACAGAGGAGGTTCAGAAGAACACGTCGGTTCACATGAAACAGAGTCGTGGCATATCTTCATAAGAGGGCACTACCGCACCACAACTAATTGACCTATGCATACGGTCCACTAGCTATTGCTGCGATGCACAACGCTTACGTATACACGTACACATGAGACCACATGGAACCACCGATGCGGCGGAACTACTGTACGAAAAACGGTCGGAGTGCAGATTTCCTCTGCTAAAAAAGCCTTTGTTGCTCCCGATCCATGGCCAACACATCAAGAGATTGATGTGTGTGCGCACACAGAACCGTCCGCTATCCTGTTCTTTCAGCTCACAACACAAGAGCCGACTCGCGTGGCACCAAGCTGGGCACTGCCAGCAGGGCCCTCCGCTAGTCTGGTAGAGTGCTTGCTGCGGTCGAAAGCCAGTTCGTGCAATTCATAGCCCCCGTTGCATCGCCTGGGGCACAGGCATCGCTCGTTTGCCGCACGCATACATACACCAGATCGGCCACTAGCACGACACAACAACAGACATTGGTGACGAGCCACCGCATCCCGCGGCTTGCCACGATTGCTGGAGAGCGTTGCAGCTTCGGGATTTTGAGTTTTTCACGGCTGAGGAAGCATGGTGAGCGGTGCTGGCCTGCGGCGTTTGCTGTGTGTGACACATGCCAGTCAGCAGTTTTTTTGGGTCGTGGGTACAGACTATGTGTCAGCAGCAGTAGGTAGTAGGTTTGTTCCGAGCCGTTGCGTCTGTGACCTGATGCCACCTGCGGGACAGCTGCAGCTGCACGCTCGAGATGTTTGCCCAGCACTGACTTGCATCCTCTGGCCGAGTTGCTGTCTGGTAGCTCCCGGATGATGTCAATTGATCCATTTTTGGGGCAAACATACGATGAGTCGAAAAAGACGGCTGTTTTCTATTTTTTCTTACACATTTCTTTGCATGATTTTGTGCTCATGATCTTCACGAGCCTCCCATCCGTTACATTTCATTTTTGCACAACCAGCATGCGAACAAACCTTTCTTTCCACCACGACCATGCACGCCTACTACCACACGACCCCACAGCCGTCAGTGGAGCTGCTGAGATGGGCCGAGGCTACGGTGAGGGGCCGCTCAGGCGGCGAGAACGAAGTCGTTTTCGCGAGGTGGTTCGACGCGCAGGGGGAGGTCTCGCAGACGCATACGTTTGCGAGCGTGTGGGCGGAGGCGGGGAGGATAGCGCATGAGCTCCGCGTGTCGTGGGGGCTGGGGAAGGGGGACCGGGCGATCCTGTGCTACGGCTTCGGCCTCGACTTCTTCGCGGCGTTCTTGGGTTGCCTGAGGGCGGGAGTGCTAGCGGTCCCTGTGTGTGAGTGGTGTTTTTTTGCTAATGATGTGTTGTCGAGATGAATGTGGTAGGAAGGGGTCAACGTCGGCGGCACGCTTACATGTGTCCTCGGATGCATGATATGACGGCACGTGGCTTTGCGTGTGCCGACGTGTTACAGTAGCAACGGGCGTTCACGACGAGAGCAATGCATCAACCGAACTTTCAAACTAGTTGTAGCTTAGGAAAATCCTTATTCGAAACTTTCACAGCAAAGGCTTGCGGTTTGACCCTTGCGACTGCTGTGAGGAGTACATACATACGTGTCGTAGGGAGTCTTGTGGAGACCGTTCATCTCGATGACCCCGGCTTCTGCGCAAACGTCGAACGACAGTAATTGGAAAATACTTGATTGCAGTGGAGATCTCATTCTTGAAGGGTGGTATCTCCCCACGTCTCCTTGTCGAGGCCTCACACTGCTGTAGTTTTAGTTTTTTTTTTTTGTCACCGTTTTGTCTTGTACAGCATTGTAAGGCTACGCCAGTTCCTCACAAAAATATAACAGCATGCATTACTCTAATGTTTAACAAACGCAGCAACTTGAACGACTGCTGTATGTAGCGGTAGGGATTGGCGCATACACAGCTCTGTATGGAGGATACGAAAAAATCGAGAAAGCATCTTTTTGCAGTGCATGTTGTTATTCAAATTTACGATTTCTCTCGAAAAGACACCGGACCTCTCTCTCTCTGTCCCTCTAAAAAGTGTTTTGGTTGGTCGATGTCTGGAATCGGCAAACCAAGAGAGATATCCATGCACAAGATAGTGCTGCTATTGCTAGCTACAAAACTCTACTGAGAAAAACAGAGACGATGCCCCGTAGTTAGGGTCCATTATTTCTTGATGTGTAGCATCAAAGAACGACCGCCCGCTCGAGATTACTAAACGTTGGACTGACTGGGTGTCTTGATTTTCTTTATTGTGGCTCGGCGCTTCTTACGGACCTCTCACTCTCTCCCCCCCTCCCGCACACACCCCGCCCTCCCTTCCCTCCCCTCTCAGATCCTCCGAGCCCGCTGACGCTCAGCAAGTCGCTGACGAAGCTCCAGAGCATAGTGGAGGCTTGCGACCCTAAGGTCATCCTAGTCTCCGGGGACGTCAACCGCCTGAGACTGGCGTCCAAGCTCAACTTTGTGTCGTCCGCGCGACGCCTGTGGCCCGACCTCCCGTACAAGGTTGCAAGATCATCAGGGGTTTCTAGTGGGGGGGGCATCTCGAAGTGGCTCGGGGGGGCGGGGGGCGGGGGGGAGAGCTTTGACGAGGAGTCTCTGGGGGAGGGCGATGTGGCGTTTTTGCAGTTTACCTCCGGCAGCACGTCGGAGCCGAAGGGTGTGATGGTGACCTTCGGGAACCTGGAGCACAACGCTCGCTTCATCTCGCGCATGTCTGAGAAGGTACGTCGAGTGCTGATGTTGCTGTTGGTGGTGGTGCTGCTGCTGCTGTAGACTAAGTAGGTCTGTGGTATGCATAGAAGTAGTAGGAGTAGTCGTAGTAGTAGAAGTGGTAATAGAAGTAGTAGTACAGTCGAACCTCGGTGAAGGACACGCCTGGGGTTTTTGCTAGGGAAAGTGTCCTTAAGCCGGGGAAGTGTCTTTAAGGTTGAGATCGCTCCTCATGTTGTACATTCTGCGAGCCACCATGCCTGTGGAAAAAGAAATTGCCCGCACCCGGAGGAGTACCCTTAATTTTGGTACCCTCAAGGGAGGCACGACTGCATTAGTAGTAGTAGTCGCACTCTGCTGCCACGTTCAAGATTCTGCTATGCACATGTATTGGTGGTGCGGGTGGGAGGGGTCTTCATCCCTTGTGTACGTGTGCTTCAGTAGAATTTATCCCCCATCATGGCCCCCGTTTTTCTGCCGGACTTTCTTTCCCCATGACGCTTCTTTCTTTTCGAACTGCATGCACACAAGCTACATCGGAAACCAAACCATCTCCGTATCACCATCACGATGGATATCGACACGCACGTTACGCAATGCATGCGACGTGGAAACCCACGCGTACGCCAACCCCTTTCGCCCGGATGAAAAACAAATGTCGAAAATCGTATCGGACGGACCTGATTCGGTGTTTGAAACCTTGTTAGCCTTCGATAACACCAGCATTATCGGAGGGATTTATATCTTGTTTTTTCTTGTTCTAGGAATTCATCTCTATCTACATATGAAGTGTCTGGGATGTATGAACTAGCCTAGCGTTGAATTAATAGCGTGTGCGGACACACCGCCTGTGTTGCTAGTTATCTCCCAGCAGCATACATGCGGCGATATTTCCCCTGTGGGAAACAGGCTCAGTGAGACATCGGCGGCGTCTCCATCAGGAAGTCGGAGACGCTGGACCGTCGTGCCCATTGAGCATTATTTTGGCAAAATCGGCAGGAGATCCCACACCTCTATAGACGTTTGATTGATCTGGGGGCAGGAACGTGCCCCGTCTCGCAAGCGGTACGGAAAGGATGCCAAGCGGCGAGCAGTATCCTCCCCCCCTCCCCCCCTCCTCCCTTGCTTTAGTTATGCAACGGAGGAATGAAACCAACCCGGCTACACAAGCAAGCCAGGGGTGCGACTTGCCCCTGACGGCTAGCCCATGACCTAGCTGTGGCTTTCTCCCACACTCCCGCGAATTGTGACAGCGAACTAACGTTGTGTCGTCGACTTGCCCACAGCACCATCACATGATCACATGACCGAACGCCGGAAAACATGCTCCCAAACGTAACCCTAACCCCCATCGCGCCTGCCCCCATCCTTGACAATAAAAAACAGTCGTTCAAGTCGCGAGGGTTTTCTTTCTCCGGGCGAGAGGAGGTGGGGGGGGTCCGTGGTTTCTCCTGGCTACCCCAGTATCACGACCTGGGCCTTGTCATGTGCACCCTCACGCCCTTCGTGAGCGGCTGGCGCATGGGCTACATGTCTCCGCTGGACTTCGTGCGGAAGCCCCTCCTCTGGCTGCGACTGCTCTCGGCCGAGAGGGCCATGTTCGGCTGCGCCCCGGATTTTTCGCTCAGGCTTTGCGTGCGAAAGTGGTGAGCTAGCTGTTGAACTTTTCGTGTTTTCGTTGTGGATCCTTCTTTTGTTTCTCCAACGTGATACTGTACCTTGCCCGGCAACAGGGAAAATGGTGTATATGTTGGGGACTTGGTAGAGGTATGTGTGTGTGTGTTTTTTTTATTATCAGCATCGACCGCGCTAACCGGCTGACCAATGAAAAGACGTCAGTGCCAGCGGGTAAGAGTCAAAGTCCTTGGAAGGGGGCCAAAATTCGAAAAATGCGCAATGCGCCAGATGCGAATGCCAATACGACTCTCTCTACATATTCTTTCACGCATACACACATCTCAGCTATACAAATGCCCTCGCTCGAATCTAGGAAGACACTGATGAAAAGAGCGGAGGACAGCGTGTGTGTGTGTGTGTGTTTCTCCAGGGCGGGGGCGGATTACTCTGCCCCATGTCTCGATTTCGGCGTTGATCCCGTGGGATTGCTGAAGTATGGGCAGAACAAAAAAAAAAAAAAAGTAGCACTGTGTTGGGGTTAGCGCCTTCAATGTTCAGGGCGGGATGGAAGCTAGGTTCACCACCCTGAATTTGCTTTCAATTATTTCCTCTCCATTTGGCACGTGGTAGTTTCTCCTCGCAAACATCCATCTTTCCTTCTCTCGATTTATTGTGGTCTTGTTGTTGCTACAGGAACGAGGCTACTCCAGAGGTTCGAGCGTCCATGACCGACTCTGTGGACCTGAGTGCGTTGAACTGGATCCAGAACGGTGCCGAGCCCATCCGAGCCTCGTCGGTGAGACTATGGTATCAATGTCCCTCTTACGGTGCTGGGTGGCATGGCAGGCGGCTTGCGTTGCCGTGGCTTCTTCCTCTTGCCCGCGGAGCGTTTTGCTCGTTCATGCACGCGTGATAACCTTTTGTCCTGCGTCACCCCCGGCTGGTGTGTCGTCGTATACCCACACGGCAGGTGCGGACGACTGACTCAACACATGAAACGAAAGAAAAAGAAGAAGGATCACCTGTATCTACTGCTGTTTAAAGGCAACCGAAACCGACCTTGTTTTGTCATCCCGCACCCTGCCCACCGCATTTTTGAGCCACCTTCGACAAAGTTGTTGTTGTTGTTGTTGTTGTTGTTGGTGTCTTCACATTAAAAACCGTTGCGATCTCTCTCTACCCAGTACCTTCGCATGTCCGTTCTGATACAACACTCGACGCGGTCGATTCCCGTGGTCGCAGGCTAACTTACCCTAAAAAGGTACACTCAAATAAAATGGCCCCGAGGGGTCCGCAAGTCAATAGAAATCAACGACAGATATTCTGGAGTCCTCCACTCCCTCTGCGCGCTATGCGAGGTAACAACTGAGACTAGGAGTCACCATCACGGGCCGGAGAGAATGAGGTACACCCCGTTGGTTCAATCTTGGTACTTCGCGACGCAAGCAGAGACAAGGCCATCTGGCACAGAAAAAGAGAGAAAAAGAGAAGAAAATAAAAGGAAACAGTAAGGAAAGCGAAAATGAAATAAAAAGAGCGAGGACAAAAAGGGACCAGGCCGAAAATATCAAGAAATAAGAGACAGAAAAAGGCACACGGTGGAGAGACCACTAACGACAAGCAAACACGCAAACATGGCCACCAACCAGAGATACATTGCAATGGTACGTCATCACTAGTGGGGGGTTGGTGCAATGGTGCAGCGTTGGGG